TCAGGTCCCTGGGTGATGTTGGGATGAGGGTGGGTCAGGACCCTGGGTGATGTTGGGATGAGGGTCGGTCAGGTTCCGGGGTGATGTTGGGATGAGGGTGGTCAGGTCCCTGGGTGATGCGAGTAGGAGGGCTGATCAGATCCTTGGATATGAGGTATTAAAACCATGTCTAAGATTTGCGATCCGCCATCCTGAGTTGGCCTTAGGATCACCTGAAGAATTCCGACCAAACACTCGGTCACAATCCCTTCTCTGCGAGTCTGAAATCCACGAGGCCTTGAAAATCAAAACCTTGTGTAGACCTACCTGTCGGCAACCCTTGAACAGAACTGATGGACAGCTCTTTACAGCCCTGATGGGCCCACTGCTTGCAGACACTGGTGGGCTGTGGCCACTGGGGCCACTGCGCTGGGTCACTGGGTTGCCTGGACTGCCAGGGACCAGGAAAGCATGTTCTCAAATGGAATTCCCAGATACACACGGCCTCCTGGGATTTCAAAGTAGCTCCACCCTCTGAGATCCTCGCTGTAGTGGATGCAAGTAGCCTCCCCAGGTGATCTAAGGTGCAGACAGGTAAGAAGAACACTCGTCTACCCGATGTCTAGGAAACCCAGGGACTCAGCAGGTTAGGCTCATGATGAAATCCAGAGTGAGGCAATGGCTCTGGGCAACTGCCAGGTACCTGTGTGATGCCAGTCGTCCTGTTGGCCCCAGGGCTTGGGGTGGTGTCTGGTGTAATCGTGACGTTGACGCAGGTGGTGAGACCAGAGCCCTGAGCAAGAGCCACCAGGGCAGGCAGGAGGCCGCTGAATCCTTCACCCACAAAGAAGGTGGTGAGGTAGCGAGCAGGCAGGTGGCTCATGAAGGGCAGGAAGGTGACTGAAGATGTGCAGTCTACCAGGGCCAGGAAGAAGGTGAGCACCATGAAGGCGATGCTGTGTTGGTTGCCCAGCACCCAGGTAGTCATGTTCCAGAGGAAAGCAAAGAGGGTGCAGGTTACAGTCCCAATACACAGCAGGGCAAAGATGACAGGCACCTCAGGAAGGCAGCTAGGCCGGAAGTGATGGAGCAGGGTGACCAGGAGGGGGCCGACATTGGCCAGCTGGATGATCACTGTGAGGTGGGATGGCAGGGACCAGCCCTCAGGCAGCTCCGTCACCAGCAGGGGCAGCTCTACCCAGAGCCCATTGATGGTCACCCAGGAGCCCGTGGCAAAGATGCAGACCAGCAGGTGGACAAGGAAGGTCATGGTGCCGGTTGCCTTGGATGGACCCTCGGGCCAGCCTACAGCAGGGGGGACAGAGAACAAAACCAGGTGAGGAACTGCACGTTTACAGTCTAGCAAGAGATGGTGCTTGGGGGGGAGGGGAGGGCGGGGGTGTCCCTGTTTTCTCTTGTCATCTCCCCTGCTCATGAACCTCTGGTTTCTTAGGAGCAGGCAAAGTCCTTTGTAGCCGGGCAAAGCCTTCCCAGCCAGGACTCCTACATCCAGAGGGAACGACAGAAAAGCTTGATGCATTCAAGCCCATGAATGTGAAGACAAATCGAACCAGACCAGCAGACAGGGAAACAAACCCCGAACCCAAACCCAACCCCCCAAACTTCTGTGCAGGCAGAACCAACCAATCAACCAACCTTAAAAACACAGTAAAACAATTAAAATAAAAAAGATCACAACGGGGGTATTGGCGGGGCTCATGTCCCCAATAGGTACAGTTGTCAGGAGGTGTCCTTGCGTGTGTCTGGGGTCACAGCGACACTCCGTACCACAGAACGCAGCACTGCCCAGCCCTGTGCCGTCCTCACAGTCAAGCCCGTTTTTGGCAGCCCCTGTGGTCAGTCCATCTGGGCACTTCTACTCCGTCCCACAGGGTGGCAGGGAGGGAGGACCAGCCTGGCGGCGGCAGGGAGGGCCTTGTTGGGTAGTAGCTCAGTGTGGGAAACCACCCCAGAGCCTGTCCACCGAGGAAGGGCCGGCTAAGGGGACAGTCTGCTAGAGCTCAGAGTTGCGCAAGCGGCTGAAAGGACACGAGGAATACAGGCCAGCAGATTGGCCAGATCTTCAGGCAACTTTGATCGTGGACAGAAGCCAGGCAGGTAGATGGGAGGTTGCCTTTGGTTGGAAGCGGAGGATGAGGAAGGAGATGCAGTCTTAAAGCCTGCCTTGAAGGGCCCGTAGAAACCAGACCGGTTCTGCTGCATCCGAAGCGTCCTTTTATCTGTTGTGAGGGGGACACATGTTCTACAAGGGTTGGCCACGTCCATGGGCCACGTTGGGGTGAGAGCTGATGAGCTCTCTGCCCTGTGGCGACCCCACAGACAACAGAGCGAGACGTTGGCCAGTCCCGCTGCCGCAGCTCAGTTGCTGGGATGCCTGAGCCTCTATTTTGAGTGACTTCCAGGCTGGGGTTCCGGGGCGCCTCTTCTAGCACTATATTGGACACTATTCGGTGGTGATCTTTGAGGGTTGGAGTGGCTGTGCTTCAGAAGTAGACAGCAGGCTTTTCATTCTACGCCCCGCACCAGGGGTGACCCTGCTGGATGTGGAATGCCAGCGGACTCGTCTCTTGGCATCTAACCACACACAGGTGACAAACTGGAAGATGGTGGTTGTGTGGACCTAGTGTCTGTTACGAAAACACGGGAACCTGAAGTATACTTTCAATGTGGCCTTTTCTCCTGAAACGACAGAACTCACTAGATGGGCAGGCCTTGAAGAGCAGCTATTCTGGTCCCCCCCAAATCCATCACACCCTCTGTTTATCAGCTTCCCAGCGACCACCCCATGCCATGCCTGATTCCCTACCGATGCCCACTTGAAGCAAAACTGTCAGACAGGCCTGGGGTTCCCCAGCTCCGCCATGTCCTAGCTGACAGCCTCGGCCATGTTTACATCTCCCCTCTGTGGCTCAGTCTTTCTCATCTGTAAAATGGGCACGGTAACAGGATTCACCTTGCGGTTTGTAAAGGGTTGTAAATGCCATTTCCCACAGGGCCTGGCGAATCAGAAACCCTCACCTAGGGTTACAGCCACTGCCACCGAGCCGACTCCGACCGCTGGTGATTCTGTAGGACTGTCAGAACTGCCCCTGAGGGTTACTGAGGTTAAATCCTTATGGGAGCAGGCAGCCTCTGTCTTTCTCCCGAGCAACGGCTGGTGGGTTTGAACCATCCACCTTGGGGTGAGCAGCCCAACACGCACCCCACTAGGCACCAGGGCTCCTTCACTAGGGTCAGCTCTTATTACCGGGAGCCTGGAGGGGAAGGGGTTCCCGCTTGGCTGGTAACATAAAATGTGGACTTTGACCCCACCCAGCAACTCCATGGAAGAAACGGCTTCTGTGAAGGTTGGAGCCACAAGCCCCCCACGGAGCAGTCCTGCTCTGTCACCTGTGGGCTGTCATGTGTGAGCCAGGGGCCAATCTGATGGCAAATGACGCTGATATGGTGGAGAAGCGCCAGCTTCGGGGACAAATGTAGGGGCACTAGTCACCGCTCTACAAGGGCCGGGCTCAGCTAGGCAGCCATTCCCCGTGTGTCTGTCTTCTGACTCACGTGGACCGAGGGCTCCTCCCCAGCACATAGCCAGTCCCGACCACACCTGGATGACTTACACAGCCTGGCCTGCACCATCGCAGGGAGCTAACGTCCTAGTGCAGATCTTTTCAGCAGCCCACCTCCCTCAAAGTCACCTATGGACTTGTAGAAAGACAGGCCCTACAACCTCCGCTCGGCGGATCGTTTTCTGCCCAGCCAGCCAGCCGCCACGGGAAGCAACAGGCCTGTGATGATACATATAGAGGAATGTTCCTTAGATGAGCTCTGGGCCCGGTTTATTATCTTTACATAGGGGAGGCTTTCCCTCTTTGGGGCTGGAGTGTGGGAGGAGGTCAGATGCGCAGGCATTCCCTCCCCTGAGGGAATCAGTTGCCAGACTGCTGTCTCATCCCTCCATAGGGGTGGGCCTGCTCCCTGCCTCTGGGGACAATGGACAGGCTCCTGTAGGCGGAGTTTGCACCCTACTGATAATGTTCCTATGGAGACCCCTAGACCACCCTCTCATTGCTGTGTAGCCTATAGTGCAGCCCCTTCCTGTGACGTATGTCTCTACCTGTAATTCGTGGGCTGGCATGCCCCCAAAAGATATAGGTGTGAGTCAGCAGAACTTCTCTCTCTGACCCTGAGCTCCTTGCTGCTCACTCCCTGGTCACTCCCCTCTCCCTTGTTCCCTTTCCCTCCTTCCCTTCCCCCTCTCCACGTGGACCACCAAGCTGGGCTGAGGTGAGCAATGTTGCTATGTATCATGTATCATGCCTGACTGTATTATTGTATTATCTCTCATGCTCTCGATGACTTTAATATAATGCTTATATATCTCAACCATACAATTGTGCATTACTGAACCCAGAAGTAGTATTACTAAACTCGTAGGAGTAGCAGCGGGTGGGGGCTGGCCCCTCACTCTCCCCAAGTGTCACTTATATTTTTTATTTAATACTACACTGGAGCCTGAGTGGACGTGGGTATTCTATTTTGTGATTCACGTGAAAATGAATAACCTGCCCCCTTACCTCCCCCACCCCAACTCAAACTCACTGCCACCGTGTGGATGCCCACTGATAGAGACTCACCCTTTGGAGTAGAACTGCCCCAGTGGGTTTCCAAGACTAAATCTAGACGGGGGTAGAAAGCTCCTTTCTCCCTCAGAGTGGCTGAAAGCGGTTTCAAACTGCCGACCTTGTGGTTTGAAGCCCAACGGGTAGCCCACTGCGCTCCCAGGGCTCGTGGGAAATGGGACCATGCAACTAGAGCGAGAGAATGTCCCATTCTTTGGGGGAGGGGGAGGGGGCTTTGGGAGGTTGGGAAGTGGGATTTGGATGGGTCCTTGTGTGCAGCACACGGCCCACCAGCCCACAGTGGTAACCCCTCACCCCTTGGTTCAGCACAGTTCACCTCATCGCTGCCTCTCTTCTTTCTAGAACCTACAAGCCCGGCGAAGAGATTCCACATTGTAGCCCTGGCCTCCTGCCCATCACCCCATCACCCTCGTCCCCACCCCATCACCCTCGTCCCCACCCCTCTGCAGGCCCAACTCCCTCCCTCCTACCTCCACGGGAAGGAAGGGATGCCTGGGGTTTGCCCTTCCCCTCCTGGAAGCTCAGACATAACCCAGTCAGCCCTCTTCTCCCTCCGCTCTACCTCCTGGGTGGTTTCAGCAAGCCACTGAGTTCTCCCGTCTCACAAGAGAAACCAGGTGGATTAGCAGACCAGGTGGGCCAGCTCAGGTGGGCCTAGCTAGAGGTCCCAAGGAGACCACAACTCCCAGGCCACGGCCACCGGGCTGCTCCTTCTTCTCCTTGGCTGTTTTAGCTGCTGCAGTGGCACCCCCATGGTCCCTGCCTCACCTGGTGCCTCAGGGGTTCAGGATCCCCCCTTTTTAAAAATACTTTTATTGGGGCTCTTACAGCTCTTATCACAATCCATACATTCCTCCAGTGTGTCAGGCACATTTGCACATATGCCGCCATCATCATTTTCAAAGCATTCTCTTCCCACTTGAGCCCCTGATATCCGCTCCCCATTTCTTCCCCCTCCCTCCCCCACCCTCCCTCCCTCACCCTTGATAAGTTATAGATTATTTTTCCCTATCTTCCATTGTCCTCTGTCGCCCCTCATCCACTTTTCTGTGATTCGTCTTCCTGGCGGGGTGGGCTGGGGGGGAGGTTCTAGATTGATCCTTGTGTTCTAGATTCCCCCTTTCTCCCCCCACCCTCCTCTATTCCTCCTGGGATCTCGACTCTCCTTGTTGGCCTGGAGGGGCTTGCATAGCCTGGATCCCCCGTGTTTCGGGCTCTTATCTGTAGCCGTGCGCACTATCACCCCACCATCCTGACCTCAATTCTACCTTACTAATCAGATGAGGCCAGGCTTCCCTTTTGTGGGTGCGTGCAGAGACAGGCCTTGGCGTCCTCGGGGAGCGAAGGGAGCTGCCTCGAACCTGGCCTTCTGGAGGCAGATGGGGCTCACGCCGCCGCTCTCTAGCTCCAGCTCTGTAGTCTCCAGGGCAAAGCCAGGCAACACACAGGCTTCTGTGGTTTCCCCGGGTCTCTAGAAAAGAGCCCTGGTGGCTCAGTGGTGAAAGCGTGTGGCTGCTAGAGGCCAGCGGTTTGAACCCACCAGCCGTTCCTCCAGAGACACGAGGACGGGCAGCCTGGGAAGCTCTTGGGGGGCGGTTCTTCGAGGTTCTACAAGGTTGGGTCACTGTGAGTCTCGGAACCAACTAAAACTGGACACCATGGCAACAGGTTTGGCCTTCAGGTTCCTGAAAGTGGCCTGTCCAGAGACGGTACACACCGCTCAGGATCTCTGGTTTCTTGGGGATCTTACGGGAGACCTCGCCAGCTGTGCCACGTGGCCACAGTGGACAGACAGGAGCTCCGGTTCTGCCTGGCCCCCAGGACACACCCTCCCATTCGTGGCTGGGCCAGCTCACAGTTCCTGCCCGGCACTTAGGTTTGCAACCAGACTCGACCAGGAACCTAGTGAGAGAGTGAGAGAGAGAGAGAGAGAGATTGATTGCTCAGTTCTATTCTGTATCACCGGGTTCACCATGAGTCAGAATCAACCCCGTGACAACCAAGAAAAGGACAAGCTCAGAGAGGGCCACCGCCAGCCAGGGCTGTCCTGAGAATCCAAGAAGGACAAATCCACGACTATGGATCCTTTTTCCTGTTTCTTAATATCAGCATTGACAGATCCAGCAAGCATACTGATCAATTACAGAGTGCTCGCACATACATGGTAGGTAAGAAAGGACCCATCACGGCACTTCCTCCTTAGTTTCTCGTTTTATCTGTTCGTTCAATTATGTCTTATGTTTACTCTCAGGCCGTCCTCCGGTTTGTTGCGGTTTTGGGTTTGGGGGCTCAGCTTCACTCCTGCTTTCTAGAAGGAGATGTGGCTTGCCCAGACAGACTGAGGCTGGGACCCACCTCTTAGGCTTCTTAAGTCCAAGACTCTAGGTGCTGCCTCCGGCCAGCTAATGGGTCTCCCCTGAGTCAGATGCCTGGGTCCAAGTTCCCCCCTATCCCATAGAAACTGGGTAGGGAGCTTACAGTCCAGAGCTCGGAGTCCCCCTCCTGCCCAACGAGGCAGCTCCCAGCCTCCACACTATGGGGGTGCTTAGGATGATGGGGCGTGCATTGGCTAGAACAGCACCGGGCACACAGGGAGTGCTCCACACACACAAAGGTGAGTCATTCTGCCAACACATCGATTGCACTTGACATGCAATGACCCCGACGTCATTTCTGGACACCACAAGCCCGAGAATCCCAGATGGTGACGTTCGGCCATCTGCTCCTTCAAGGGGCCATGAAGCCCTTTGTTTGTGCCCAGCCCGGTGCCCCACTGCAGTGAGGGAAGAGCTGTGTGGGGCTGCAGAGCCCAGGCACCAGGGACCCCCTCAGGGCAGAGGTAGGGTTGGGGATGGGGCAGCTGGGCCTACAGCCCATCTTACAGACAGGCTTTCCACCCTACTGCATGGGCCAAGGCAGGGAAGGTGACCGCTGTGGACCCTGACAGTCTTTCCCAGGCCAATGGTGGAGCGGAAGAAAGGAGTGACCCCTTCCTAGGACAACCTCTTAATTTACACTGCCCTGCCCAAGAAGACCCAGAGCTGCCCCCACCCGAGAGGTGGGATTCTATTGAAATGAGCTGTTCTGGGTCTCTGCCTGTTATTGGTGGAACGAAGGGGCTCGGAAAAAGGGTGGGAAGTTGTAGAGTATGACATGCCCAGCAGGGTCTGCAAAAGGCTTCTCAGTGGCTACTCTCCTCTTCCTCTTCCTCCTCCTCCTCTGTTGTTTACAAAGAGCCTTGATTGTTTTTGTTGTTGTGCAAAGAAAGGACTCGCCATGCCATCCTCCCTTGAAGATGCAGATGGCCATGCAGCCAAGCACTGGCTTAGCAGGTGAAGAGGGAGTTCAAGAAGTCTCCTTAAAAGTAATGGAGTGTGTCCTTCTGTCACCCTGCTGCCTGGAACTCAGCTGTGATGGCCAGAGCTCCAGCAGCCGTTTCGCACAATGAGGGTGGGGGAGGGTCGAGAAGGAGACCAGAGCCCTCAGGACTTGCTAGTTCAGAGCAGCCATCCCGGCCCGGCCCTGCCTGTCCTGAGCCTGGTTTGTTTGTTTTTTGGGAACCGGTGGAAGTTCTGCCTGTTTCTTGTCCAGAGAAACAGTGGCCCACGTGTAGCAAGGACCAGGTTCGAGGGGCACCTTGACTGACTGTGTTCATCACAATGAAAGAGCAAGACATTTGCCTGCGGAGCTGTCAATATCCCGCCCCAGAATCTCAGACCCTATCCCAACCAGGATTTGGCCAAAACCAAAATCTACTAAAATGAGTTGTTTGGACACGCCTACCAGGAAGAGACACCAGACATTTTGAGGAAAGGAGGGTGGGGTGGGTTTGGGGAACAACTTCCAGAGAAATGCCAAAGAAGAAAGGAAGAGAGGGAGCAGGGAAGCTAGGAGGGGGTCTTGATATAGATTTGGGGGTCCAAAGCCTACATTGAGATCCAGGGTGATTTCCCATTCAACAAACAAACAAAAAGCTCAGACTACACGTGAACACGGACTCAGAGCGACCTTGTAGGACGGGTAGAACTGCCCCCATGGGTCCCCGTGACTCACTCTTTATGAGAGCAGAAAGCCTCCGTCCTTCTCCCCCTGACCAGCTGGTGGCTTTGAACAGCTGATCTTGCAGGTAGCAGTCCAATGCATGACCACTGTGCCACCAGGGCTCCTGGTGATTTCGTATGAATAAAGCTTACCATTAATCATGGAGTCTAGCTCGAGTGAATGCCAGTGTTCGGAGTAACAGCCCCGGCCCTCACCCCAGCCTAAGACCTGCACAGTGAAGGAAGACCGGCACAGGGGCAGGGTGCCAACTCCCTGTGCCTGGCCCTGGCAGCTTAGGTTGGTGTAGAATAAACAAGGAAAAGGAGGCGCTGATAAATGATACCACTCGTAAAGAAGAATAAACAAATAATGAAAGGGAGGAGGCGAATGTAAGAAGATGCAACGTCAAAAGCTATTAAATTAATGAGCATGCTCAGCAGGGTGGCGAGTTACACCTTTATAAACATCAGCAGGTTCCCGTCCCCAAACCAACTGCCACCAAGTCCACTCTGGTTCATAGCAACCCCACAGGACAGAGCAGAACTGCTCCCAGAGTGAGGCTGTTACTCTTCACAGGAGCACAGAGCCTCATCTTTTCTTGGAGGAGTGTCTGCTGGAGTTGAACTGGTGGCCCTGCAGTTGACAGTTCAACATGTGACCCACTGTCCCACCAGGCTCCCTGCTCTGCGTAAACCAGTTGGAAAATAAAATAAAAGTTGCTATTGGGAGGGGGAGGTTATAGCTTTCCCCCACTCATACATACACCTACATGTAGAACCAGACTCATGGTTGTCGACAGGACAGGATAGACTGAGGTGTAAATCTTTATGGGAGCAGACAGCCTCTTCTTCTCCCGAGGAGCAACTGGTGGGTTTGAAGGACTAACCTTGTGGTTAGTAAGCTCAATGTGTGAGCCACTACACCACCAAGGCTCCTATTAGATCTATTAGAACGTATATACATACACGTGCCTCTAGTGGCATAGTGGTTACAAGTTGGGCTACGATCTGCAAGGTCAGCAGTTCGAAACCACCAGCCGTTCCATAGGAAGAAGATGGGGCTTGTTACTACTGTAAACAGTGGTAGTCTTGGAAACACGCACACGTTCCACTTGCATGGAATATATAATATTTTAAAATGTAAAAAGTAGTCAGAATACCCAGAGAACAGAGATGCCGGTTGCACCCAGGTCCTAAGGCCAGTGGGACATGAGCAGAGGGCTTGATGGGAGACGGGCAGACCAGGCACATCAGGAGGTGGATTTCCATTTGCTGTGCAGGGTGCACAGACCTGGGGGACACGGGGAGGAGTGGCCGGCAGTGACAGTGGAGGCGGGAGGGGCGGCCTTGGCAGTGGTTCAGCATGGCTGGAGCGCAGAGTGTTAAACACCCGCTGCATGGTGGCATCGTGGTTACGTGTTGGGCTGCTCATTGCAAGGCCAGCAGTTAGAAACCGCCAGCCGCTCCGAGGGAGGAGGACGGGGGACTGGGCTTTCTCCTCCTGGAGAGTCACAGTCTGGGAAACTCACAGGGTCCTTTTGAAGTTGTTGTTGTTGTTGGAACTTCCACGTGCTGGGCAGCATCCCTTCTCTGGGCAACGTGCAAACAGTTGGTGCTCACTCCCTCCTTACCTGTGCAGGTTCTCTGCCAAGGGCTGAGCGCATGTTCTCTGTCCAGTCCGCTCACAACCTGGAGAGCACACTCATCTTACAGATGAGGAAACCGAGGCTCAGACGGGAGATCAGCTGCCCGAGGCCCCACGGCTGGTCCTTTGGCTCTGAGACCTGCTTCCAGGCATGTCTGAAGGCAGATTCCGACCAGAGAGAGCTGGGCTTGGGGCCCTGGGGTTATGAAGAGGCTGGTGGGTCAGGCTCTGCCTGCTCCCTTCCCGCTCTCCCTTGGCCTCCCCAGTACCGAGTCTGGAAGGAGGCCGTACTAGATACTCCAGGCTTTGACTGAGACCCCTTAGACCAGCGGTTCTCGACCTGTGGGTGGAGACCCCTTTGGGGGTTGAATGACCATTTCACAGGGGCCGCCTAATACATCTGGCATATCAGATATTTACATGACAATTCATCACAGTAGCAAAATGACAGTGATGAAGGAGCAAGGAAAATGATTTTGTGGTTGGTTGAGAACCACGGCCTTAAGCCTTCTCGTGGTAGACAGAGACGCCAGAGGGCTCAGCTCCAGGGAGAAGTGATCTTTTACTCTGGCATCAAAACCAAGGCTTTCCAGAGGGAGGCGCTGGCTGGGCAAGAGGAGATGAAAAGCGAGCCCCAGTTCGTCGGGTGTAAGGGGTGGTGGATGGCCTGAGCCATCTCCCTCCAGGTCAGGCAGGAGGGCCCTTGGCCCTGAGTCCAAGCAGCCCCCACCCTGTGCTCTGCTCTCTCACAGGATCTTGGCGAGCTTCCTGGAGTTTATCTGTATCTGTCTGGAGTGTGCTGCTGTACCACAGGAATGCACCCCCCGGTGAGCAGGTCCCTACTCTTCCCAGTGTCCAGGTGGCCACCTGGTTTGCCAAGGGCTGGGCCACCCAACCCCCTGACGCCCTTCAAGGCTCCACTGGCAGCTGGTGGGTAGAGCCCCATGGTCAGACAAAGGGTGCCTGCCTGGGCCACGAGGCTCCACTCCCAGCTGGTATCAGCCAGAGGTGCAGGCAGTACCAGCTGGCGGCCTGGGTGCTAGTCACACCTGAGCCTGGGCAAGGGTCTGAGTCAGTGCTGTCCTGGGTCCCAGACTCTTGGAGAACTTAATCCAGAGTTCTCAGGGGGTAGGACTTGGAGCCTTAAGAAGGCCCGATGGTGGGCATTACCACCAGGGCATGCGTTGGCAGCACAGGGAAACTAAGAACGGGGAACCATCCCTGCCCCCTCCAGAGGTAAAGGGGCAGAGAGAGACAGGGTTCCTCCTAGAACCCCACCCTGGAAGCAGCTACAAGCAGAAAGAGGACCGAGACACCCCCAACCAAGCCCAGTGCCGTGGGGTCAGTTCCGACTCAGAGGAGACCCGCCTTACAGGGCTTTCTTGGATGTCGTCTTTGGGGGGACAGATGGCCAGCCCTTTCTTCCATGGCACTGCTGGGTGGCTTCCACCTGTCCAGCTTACCTGGGTCCAAACCTGTGTCCCTTAGAACTCTAGTGGGTTTGGTGGGTGAATCCCTATGTCAGCTCTCCGGGCCTTTCTCTGTCAGTGCCACCGGTGGTTTCAAACCACAAACCTTGGGGTTCGTAGTGCTAACCGCGAGGCCTGTGACAGAGGGCAGAGAGGGAAGGGGCAGAGGCAGAGAGGGAAGGGGCAGAGGCAGACAGGGAGAGCACAGGAGCGGGGGAGCTGGGCCTGGTACCGCCCACACGAGGCACCCACACGGCAGCTATCAGGACACCTCCTCCACAGCCAGGCATCCCTGTGGGTCTCATCTCAACTGATGGGGAAAACTGAGATCCAGAGAGGGAGTGGCCGGGGCTGCCTCCTGCCCACCCATCCCACTGCTCTCTCTGGCCTCCGATGGCTCCTCGCCTCTGGAGGGCTCTGGGGAGGCCCCTTTGCTGGACTCAGCTGCCGGGAGATAACGGAGCCTGGGACAGAGAGCTCTCTTTCTTTGCTTCCTCCTTGCCCTGGTGTGCAGTTTCGGTCTCCCACGGCTGATCCTGATACAGCAGCCTTCTGGCCTGTGCAGCGCTCCCCCACTGTGCTGATACCTGCCCCCAAAGCCCCATACCAGCCTCTGAGGCAGCTAGAGGCCCTGATGGGGGGCAAAGGAAGCGGAGGAAGGGTGGGCAGAGGTCTGTGGGGCCCAGTCTCTTGGCAGGGGTAGGGGGAGGCGGCAGGAGGGGTGTGGAATCCACTCTCATCTGTCCCACCCTCACTGGCTGGCTGCTGACAGAGAGGTCCTGGTGTCCCCTATTCCTTCAGCCGGGAATGAGAGGCAAGGCCACAGGCCACCCGCTGTGCTCAGACGGGTGCTCCCCACCCACCATGGTCAGCGACCAGCCCCGACCAGCCCTGTACCTGAAGCTGTGTCCTCTGGGGCTCAGGCTGCCAGGCTCTGTGGCCTTCCTGCTGATCCAGTTTCCCTGAGAAGCTCTGACAGGGAGGGGCCAAGGGCCGGGGCGTGTTACCTGCCTCGCTTCCGCCCCAAGTTGGGGGAAAGGAGGGGGCGGGACAGAGCTCTCAGAGTCTACCCAGGGCCCGCTGTGCACCCTGAAAATCTACAGGAGGAGACCCCAGAAACAATGAAGGACCCCCATTTTCTATCACTTCCCGTGTTGCCCAAATCATGGGGATTGACCCCCAGAAGGCAGAAGACTGGTCCAGCGGGTTGGCCTTAGCTGCCCCAGGGGCAGCCAAAATTCCTTAGACACCTGAATAAGGAGGGGTCTCAGAGTGGAAACGGGTGGTTCAGATCCTGGAGTGGAAGCAAGTCACTGGTAAACTCACTGCCATTGAGTCTGCTGATAGCGACCCTGCTTAGCTGCTTAGTTTGTCTAGTTATTTATTTATTTGGTTATCTAGCTCCGTCTAGTATCTGAGGCTGCAAATCTTCATGGGAGCCTCAGCTTTCTCCCGCAGAGCGACCTAGCGGAGTCGAAACTGTTGATCCTGAGCTTAGCAACCCTGCACGCAGAGGAAGCCTGACTAGCCACCGTGTGCTGAGCGCTGACTCTGGGCCAGGGAGTGCCCCGAGCTTCAGATACATGATTAACCTGGCAGGGACAGAGCACCGGGCGGACTCCTGTGAGAACAGGCTTGGTAAACATCTTCATCTTGAGGCACCAAGCATGTACACCGGAAACAGCCTGAGCAGACCTGTCGCCCGAGGCCAATCTGAAGCATGCCCACACTGAGCCAATGGAAGAAATCGAAAGTTGCTAAGACCACCTGTGAGCTGCAGCCCCTCCCCCTTTGAAAGTGCCCTTTAAAAGCACCACGACCTTCTAGACCTGAGAGGGGCACCCGCTTCTTTTCTTTTTGAAGTGACCCTACGGTTTCATAAAACGTAGGCTTCGCTTTTTGCTGCTGCGTGCCTGTGAGTGTGTGCAGCTTATCTCTGGCCCCTTACACATCATATGGGTGGGTCTTGCCAGCTCCCCCTGTGGACCACAACCTGGTGCTGAATGTTGCTTCTTGGGGGCACGGGCAGGATAGACCATCTTCAGAGAGAGGACCTTCATCTGCCAGCCATCTGCACGGTAGTGTTGTGTGGTCAGGGGGAAGCCGGTGGAGAGGTAGAATGGACCCCCATTCCCCGACTTTATGTTATGTGTTGATCAGTGCGCTGTCATTTTCTCCCCACCTCCACCCTTCCTTCCTCACCCTCTCTCTGCAACCTATCTTGTTCAGGAGACTGAGAAGGGGGAGAAATTCGTCAGCAGTCCAAAGAAAGGCAGCATGCCTGTCCTAGTCCGGAGGCTGTGAGGGGCAGGTCCCTGTCTGGTCAGAAGAATAGGAGAGTGCATTAGATTGTTGATGAGTATGCATGCCTGTGGCCTGGACATAGTTAAGGCGCTTCCAGGGGTTCAAATCAGCGTTCCCTGTGGGCCCATGACCCTCCCTCATCAGGGGAGACTAAATTCCGGGGCACCTAACATGTGTGCTGGTGGGTCCATGATTAACTGACCCATGACCGGGTCCCCTGGAGGGGCGGTTCAACTCTGTCCTACTAGCACAGTGGTTCTCCACCTTCCTACTGCCTCGACCCTTTAACACAGTGCCTCATGTGGTGGTGGTCCCCAACCATAAAATTATTTTCGTTGCTACTTCATAACTGTCATTTTGCTGCTGTTATGAATCGTCGTGTAAATATCTGGTATGCAGGATGTATTTTCATTGCTACAAATTGAACATAATTAAAGCATAGTGATGAATCACAAAACAATATGTAATTGTATATTGTGAAATCTTTATTTCTAATGGCAAATAAATGAAATGTTGTCTTGAAGCCTGGTGTAGCATGGGTCACAGTCTTCATGCCAGGTACTCATATGTGGGTGTATCTGCATGCGGGTGGACCCGCTTGTAGACGGATAGAGGAGTGCTGTCTCAGTTCCTATTGATTATATTTTTACTTAAAAAAAAAGTCTTTGGATGAACATAAACATCTAACTCCCCTGAGGTCCCAATGAGCTATTTTGTTTTCTGTTGTTTGTGCATCACTGAGCTTGATAATCTATCATTGGGCGGTGGTGCAGTGGGGAGTAAAGCTTTACTCCTATATTTTCTTCCAAAGATGCTATGGTTTTCTATGTACTATTTAGATCTTTGATCCATTTTGAATTGATGATATGAGATTTAGATCTTGCTTTGCTTTTCTGCACGTGGAAATCCAGTTTTCCCAGCACCATTTGGTGAAGAGACTGCTTCTCCATTGAATGGATTTTGCACCCTCCCCCCTTGTAAAAAAAAAAAAAATCAACGGATCATAGATGTTTGGGTTCGCTTCCGGCATTTACATGGATTTGGGTGCTTGTCATTCCGCTGACCCCAGCTTGTCTGGGTCACAGTGTGTTTTGAACACAAGGAGTGTGAGGCTTTGGGCATTGTTGTTCTTCAAAATGACTTTGGTTGTTCAGGGTCTCCAGGTTTCCCTATAAAATTAAGGATTCTGTGTTGCATTTCTATTGAGAATGCTGCTGTCATTTTGATCAGGGTTGCCTTGCAGAGCACTCTGGGAAGTTTGGCATCCTGACTATGTTAAGCCTTCTGCCCCACCAGCATGGGATCTGTTTCCATCCATTAGGTAGGTCATCTTGGGTTGCTGACCATGATGTCGGATCATTTTCATTGGGTACGTCTTTCACAGCCCTGGCAAATGTATTCCTGGATGCGCCATTCTCTCCGATGCTGATGCACGTGGAGTTGCTTTTCTGAGTCTCCTCTTCAGAGTTCTCATTGCTGGTGTCAAAAGCCCAAGTGATCCTTAGGTGTTGACCTGGTATCACGCAGCTTTGCCTATGTCCTCTATCAATTTCAGAAGCTTTTAGCAGATCCTTTTATTTTTTTAAAAAATCATTTTATTGGGGCTTGTGCAACTCTTATCACAATCCATCCGTACATTGTGTCAAGCACATTTGTACATTTGTTGCCATCATCATTCTCAAAATGTTTTCTTTCTGCTTGAGCCTTGGTATCAGCTCCTCATTTTCCCCTCCCTCTTTCACCCTCCCTCCTCATGAACTCTTGATAATTTATAGATTATTATTATTTTGTCACATCTTACACTGTCCCCCTTCACCCACTTTTCTGTTGTCCATCCCCCAGGAAGGGGTTATATGTAGATCATTGTGATTGGTTACCTCCTTTCTCTCCCACCTTCCCCTTCCCCTCCTGGTATCGCTACTCTCATTGTTGGTCCTCAGGGATTTTTCTGTCCTGGATTCCCTGTGTTTCCAGTTCTTATCTGTACCAGTGTACATCCTCTGGTCTAGCCAGATTTATAAGGTAGAATTGGGATCATGACAGTGGGGGGGAGGAAGCATTAAAGAACTAGAGGAAAGTTGTATGCTTCTTCGTTGCTACACTGCACCCTGACTGGCTCATCTCCTCCCCATGACCCTTCTGTAAGGGGATGTCCAGTTGCCTACAGATGGGCTTTGGGTCCCCAATCTGCACTCCCCCTCATTCATAATAATATGATTTTTTTTGTTCTTTGATACCTGGTACCTGATCCTATTGACACCTCGTGATCACATAGGCTGGTGTGCTTCTTCCATGTGGGCTTTGTTGCTTCTCAGCTAGTTGCCGCTTATTTATCTCAAGCTTTTAAGACCCCAGAGGCAGGCGCCATCAGCTTTCTTCACCACATTTGCTTATGCACCCGCTTTGTCTTCGGCGATCATGTCAGGAAGGTGAGCATCATGGAATGCCAGTTTAATAGAACAAAGTGTTCTTGCATTGAGGGAGTACTTGAGTACCCCTTACCAATGTCCACCTTAGCGGATTCTTTCTCATTTTTCTACATACAGGATCATGTCATCTGTGAATAGTTAGCATTTTAGCATTTCCTTTCTCAATGGATGCCTTTTGTTTCTTTTTTCTTGCCTTATTGCTCTGATTGGTGTTGATTGGTTTTCTATAGAATCTCCTATGATGGTTCAGAAGTAGCAGCTGGGCACCATCCAGTTCATCTGGTCTCCTGGCAAAAGAAGGGCGGTTGAAGCAAGTGGCTAAGGGAGCCAGCAGCCACTTTCAGGGAGCGTCTCAGGCAGGGGAGTGATAAGGCCTAGCTGGTGTGGAAGGAGAGAAGGCCAACATTTTGGGTTAGATCAGAGGTTGGCTTGGTGAGCAGCAGGGCCCCTTCCTTACAGCTGGGTGGGTCTCATTACCCAGTGGGTTTAAGTAGCCAGCCCCATTGCTGGGTGACTATCTCCTGATATCATGGGTTTGTTGCAGTAAACATCCTGCTGACCCGTCATTTACCAAAGTGCAGACTCCCTGTAGGATCGGTTCTTAGCAGAGAGACTATACTTGAGAGACCACTCAGATGCCTTCCCTCCCCCTCAAAAAAGAAGCAGCCTTAGGGGCAAATGATCCCCCACACCTATGCCACAGCGCGCTTTCAAACATGCAGACTGTCGGCCACCATCTCCTCCTCATCCTGAAGGAAGGGAGGGTCGCCAGGGCAGAGAACGGCTGTGCCTGGCTCAGGCCTTAGGGCTCACACAAGAAGGTCTACAACGTGGGTTCTAGAGGGATGAATGAATGGGGTAGGGACTGAGGACACCCCTGCAGTTTCTCAGAGGAGCCACACCCAGCTCTCATACAATATAGACCACCCTCTCATTGCTCACTGCCAACAAGTCCACGCTGCGCATAGCCACCCTACAGGGCAGGGTAGAACTGGCACATAGCCACCCTACAGGGCAGGGTAGAACTGGCACATAGCCACCCTACAGGGCAGGGTAGAACTGGCGCATAGCCACCCTACAGGGCAGGGTAGAACAGGCGCATAGCCACCCTACAGGGCAGGGTAGAACTGGCACATAGCCACCCTACAGGGCAGGGTAGAACTGGCACATAGCCACCCTATAG